ATGCAGAATATAAATTTATGGTTTTAATCAAGACATTATTATTTTATGGCATACAACACCAACAATTACAAAAGTCAAACAGAAATCTTATGTCCCTGTTTTCAAGTTAAGCAATAAGAGTTCTTGAAGCTTTCTGTTATTCTAATTTGCAGTTCACTTATTTTACTTCCTTTGGACTTTCTCACTATTGAGTCGTTCATTAAAACTGTCTGTAGCAATGTGCTGGCCCGGATTAGCATTCCCGATATCTGTAATTAGAGGGATTTAAACACTTTTTTTCACTCAAACAAAACTTGTCTTTTGACACAATCAAATATCTGTCCCATTTTAAACCAGGATTAGTTGTGAATTATGAATCATTTACAAGAATACAACACAAAAAGTAGCTACTGGGTCTCTTTCCAAAGTTGGGGTGAATTTATGACACATTTGATATTGACCAATTATTTATAAAGTCTATTAAATTCATCACTACTGCCGGTAGGGAAAGATTTACTAGAACAACTAATGTAAAATGTAATGAAATAGATCAAGTCCTCTTATGAAATATTAATATCCACTAAATCTGGTAATTGGAAGTCTGTATTTGCAGTCTCTCAGTTGTGGCTAATTCCAATTCAGGTTGCAGATGGCGGTTTCAGCTTGCATTCCCAGGAGCGCCAACAGTGAAAATGAAGAGTTTCTGAGAAACATGGCCATTGCTCCATAGCAGGAGACCACACTGGGAATGACCATGGGCTTGAGCTGTGTGCGCGCCCATGCATGTGCGTGTTTGAAAATGAAGTCAATGTTGGGTGCCCAGTATTTCTCTTCAATTCTTATCCCCTAAACAAGGCTGGATAAGGGATTGGTTTCGGCTTCAGTGAACAACAGGTAAGAAGGACATCCATTTTCCAAAGCGAGGTCATAGGAAACCACTTGTAAAGACTGTTAATGGTACACAAAGTTTACAAGGTGGCAAGTCCAAGTGCTTGGGCGGGTGTTAAGGGGAGCACATCTTTATAAAGCTACTTGTGCACTTTAGTTCCAATGTCCTCCTACTCTGGGGGAGTGTTGGTGCTCTTTTCTCAAAATTATCCAAGTGTAGGATGAGCTCTTCTCTGGTCACTGTCTGCTAGAAGCAGTCAGAGGTAAGGACTCCATTCCTTTCTTTGGTGGGTGTCATTAGAAAGCAGAGGTGGGGGTGAGGGAGGGAGCAGGGAGGGAGAAGCATATAAAAGGAGCACTGCCAACCTGGTCTCCACAGGGCAACCAGCTGAGACGGGCAAGTCTTGGAAAAGTCAGGACCTGGAGCTCAGGGCCCTAGAGGGTGGCCAGTGGGACTCAGGTCCTTACCCACCAGTTCCTACCAGTGCTCTCCAAGGACAGCTCTCGGGAGAGCAGAGGTGTTCATTTTTCTGGCAAAGCCGGAGTGGGTCCTTGTGTCCAGAAAGGGCCCTCAATAAAATGTCACAATTTGAACGTTTCTCTGGCAAACCCAGCAGGGGGGAATGTCCAAGGGAATGTGGATGTAGAGGGAGGGCAGCTATTCCAGAGTTCAGGGAAACCTCGGTACAGTGACTCATGCTCTTTAGGGTTCATGGGCGCCCAGGCATGGATTCTACCCCACTTCTAAAAATGCCTGTCAGAGGTATCAGGCCACCCAGTCTCCATTTGGGAAAGAAATGCTTTACTGCAGGTGGAGGGGGGAGGTCTCAGGGTACTGTCACTGGGGTCTGCTCTGGATCCAGACTTGCAGACCTGCCCACTCTGTGATGGGGGACAGGGATTTCTCAGGACACCTGAGAGGACACTGCTTCTTCTGAGAGGAACAATGTGGAACTCCCTAGGATTCCGTGGACTGTTTGAGAGAGAACTCAGCTACAGTTGCTCACAGGGAGGCTCCCTCTGGTCAGAGACATCAGGCCTTTCTCTGTCCCGGCTCCTCCCTCCAGGTTCCAACCCTGCAGGAGCCAGAGGCAATCATGGCAGAAGACAGCAGGCAATGTAGCAGAGCGAGTATTTGAAAATGAAAATGAACATTTATTTAGAGAAAATGAAGACAAGAGCTTTGCAGGAGGGGAGGAGAAGGATGCCTGGCTCACACTTGGTGTTCTAAGCAATGTGGCTCCGGCCCCAAATTTGCAAGCCCTGTTCAAATATAGCAAGATGCCAGAGTGTCTAGAATCTCCTCCCTAGCTTGACAGGGTCCAGCTTTCTATGTGGAACACTGTTCATGAGAGGGAATTCGCAGACTTCCTCTCCCCATCTGTTCATGTGTAACAATCTACTCTCCAGAGAGGTTGGTACTTTGTCCCCTGCCCAGATGGACCATTTCTACATGTACTCCTCACCGAGGGCCCAGGAGGAGTGAGGTATCTGTGGAAATGGGAAAAGGTATGTGGCTGGACGGCAAATTTAAATACGGATGACACACTCGGAGTAAGAGGAGGATCATAGATAATGACTCTGACCTTGCTTGGAAACAGGGGATGTTAATTTTCAACAGATATCTGAGGAGGAAGCATGCCGGTTGACCCATTCAACTTGGGTGGGTGTGGGCTAAGCACCAAGGCTTGGGTGAGCAACCACAGGCACATGTTTTTAAAATCTCGCACTTATATCACCTTGACTAACTTTGCATGGATCAAAGCAAGTCCCGTGGCCAGGTTCAACATCCAGGGCAACAAAGTACCCCTGAGAAGAAAGAAAGCAGGCTCTGCAGGCCAAGGACAAAGAAGTTGACAACAGGCAGTGGGGGCTGGGGAAGCAGAATGGGAGTAAATGGCTCACCTTGAGGTGGGTGAGCAGTTCATGGTGACTGCTACACTTAAAGCCATCCATGCTAATGTCCAGGACACCACTGTCCTCAGAGGAAGATGAAGTGACTCTGCGTAGCAGCCAAAGCATATTATCCAGCTGGGTGTTCACGGCACAACCCTCCCAAACTGCCTGGTGAAGACATCCCTGGCCCCTGTCCCTCCTGCGGTTTTACATGCTGAATACCAATGGTCTGAATTCAGAATTGAGGTGGCCAGATGGCCTGGACTGATGTAAGTTGCAGAGAGCAGAGAACCATTCCTATAAGAAGTGTTTTAGTAAGCATCGTAGCCAGAGAAGGCAGTGGTCTCCCGATGGTTGGAGTGTCCCATGAGTCGCTTGTGTCACCTACAGGTGGTGGCTACCTTCATGCCCTAGCTCTCGTGCGTCCCTGCTGTTTGTCACTTCTCTCTGAACTGGGGGGGGCACTCAGGTACAGTCCAGCCTTCCAGGCCAGAGAGGACATTCCTGCTTGTGGTCCACCCCAGGCGTGATGCAGTATGGCTTCGGGTGGGCCGTCCCAGTGAGCTGAAGGAACTTCCTATACCATCAGGGTATTTGCTGTTCTGCTTCTGACTTTTTATTCTTGAGGATTTTTTGATGAGGAATGTGCTGGATCTTAAGTTCTCTGCATATGATCATGAGGCCGACTGATCGATCTGCTTTGCTCTCTCACTGATGGGTTTTACTGATGTTGAGTTTTGCACCCCTGAGATACACCTTATTTGTTGGCAAGAAAATAAATTTTATATGTTACTGTAAGACTTAATCCTCAGTACTTACTTTGGAATAATTCTTTGTCTTTATTTTAACTTCTGAGATTTTGGGGTTTTTTTCTATTTCTTAAAGAATTTTGGAAATATTTCTAGAAAACTTCTACATTTCTAGAAAATTCTCCACTTGAAAACTCTCTGCTCTGAAAGTTCCCTCTTACTTCATGCCGGGTGACCTCATCTACCCTCTCTCTCAGCACAGACTGTCACCATTCCTTCTTTCTCTGGAGCCCAGGCATGAAACAGTGTCCTGTTGGTCCTGCCTGCTCTTCCTGAGTGTCACTATGAACCGTGGTGCTGTGGAGGACATTCAGCCAGGGCTGCGTGCCTTTGCAGTAGAAATTGGCACTGTCCACATCACCTTCCTGTCACCTTCATCCTTCCGTGAGGGCTGAGCTCCTGGCTGGCTCTCTCCCTGTCCCTGTCCTTGGGGGCTTCGCTTTCCACATGGATGACCTTTAACATCAGGCCCTCTCGGCTTGCTCCCCCTCCTCCTCTAGAGGTCTTCTCTTCCATCCTCATCATCACAGATGCTCAGAATCTCATCCTTGTCCTCCTAGTGCCAGAGGTTAAAGCAGATGGAATTTGGGGATCAAATGACCAAAAGTGACATTCTCCCTTTGAAGAAAAATAAAGAGAGCATTTCAGATGGCAGCCATGTTTCCAAGGGCCACTCTATCTTCTGGGTTGGGGCAGCAGATACAAGTAAAAGTTTTTCCCCTGAATGAAGAATTACATTTGGAA